GAGAATACCAATTTTCCATTTGTCCAACGTGCCCTAAAACTGCAGTACAGATAGCTTCATCGTTGACAACTCCTGAACAGTCATGCTTTTTATTGTTAACAGATCAAATTTCTATGAATTTGTTCAGTGATTCCGAAACATATTTGTGTCGTAAATTTATTTCTGGATGACTATCATTGCACATACGGGCAGCAGCTCTAGCACTATTTCAATTATGGTAGAACTAACTCTCTAATCCGTTCTCGAAGCGTATACACCATTGCTTCCCAATAATTTACAGGAACAGAAACACCAATTGTAACTTCACCCGGTAGGTAATCGTTATTGTAGAATGAGACCAATACAAAATGAAGGAAATATCGAATTCAAACTAAAATAGGCAAAATAAGACTTTTTTGAAGTATACTTCACAAAAACACCTATAAAAACTAGGTAACAGGTTCATTCGGGGTGTACCATTGATGTATTAAATTTTGAGGTTACTTTCACTGTTGAGCACTCTATCATCCAAATTTTTCTTGACCTGAATATAACATTTAATTTGTCCTGTTGTTCTATCGGAAAATGTGACTATATCTTAGTAGATGAACAACGTATGCACAAAATCCCATGTATTTTCTTACAGAGCTAAACTTTTTACAATTTTTGGCTCAAACAGGAGTGGGAGAAACGTGTGACGTCATTGACGCAGGATGGAATGAGTATCGTAGCGATTCAAGCGTGGAACTCCGCCCCTCAGCCACCTTGGTACTTCGCCTAACCTGTCAGCCCCCTTGGTACTCAGGCCCCCTTGTCACGTGATTTCAATTAAAAAAGTTTATAGTTATGACATTAGAACCTGGATCATCCGCGTGGCAGACATTGTCCTTAGCCTCTACTTCAACGTGAGATATTGAAAGTAACTGCGAATGTTGGGTATTTACAGTGTTAGTTTTGTCGGGAGCGAAATTCACTCATTTTATATACTTGACCGCATTTTTTTCATTTCCGTAGAATGTTAGGGGAGTTGTAATCATCATTATCATGTTGAAGATAGTAAAATATACTTAGATTTGGCAAATAATTAATATTTCATGTAAGGATGTGTATGTTTGTGTAAGAGCGAGAGACGCGTGTGACGTAATCGAGGCAAAGAGAGATGGAGATGGTATCGAGGTTTTACGCTGCCAATGCAAGCATGGCAGGTTCGGCGTTGCCGGTTGTAAAACTTATCGTTGTTTATGGGGCAATGTAGCGTTACCGGTTTTGAAATTAATCGTGAACGACTCGATGAAAACTAGCGCGAAAGTGATATATTAATAATAATGAATCAGATTCAAGAAAAAACATTACAAATTAATGAGGCTGTATCGTTTCAAAGTGCGATCCCTCAATGTTACAAGATATCTCAAAATACTTCGTTGAAAACAAACATGGCTTCATTGTGTACAGGTGTCACCTCACAAACCACACGGGGAGACTAAATCATCTGTCGATAACAAATAAGACAGATGGGTATCCGCGGCTAAGCTGAACAGTGGAGACGGGAGACTACCACGAAAATTGAGTAGGTGTGGGCGAAATCGTAAATACTAGTATGGAAGGTGAGACAATTTCTTTTGTGTCGAGTGAGCTCAGGCGTAGGCGCATCGGTGTCAACAAGCAATTGTAAAAGGAAGAAAACACCTCAATTTGCATTTTAGAAATGAAACCAAACACGTTGCCAACTAGCGGTGAATTCAGCCAGGAAGGCAATCACTATATCAACAGGTAACAATAAACAAAAGGGCAAACAATTATTTAAATAACTCAGTATCACACAAATGTCCAAATAAACCAATTAAAACTTGCGTGCTCCTTTTGGGCCACCTGGTATATGGTTAACTCGAAGATTTTCACGGATAAAGTATGATGAGCTGTTTTCTCGGGTTTCTCTCCGCAAAGATAGATCACCCTGTAGCACAACCAATATAGATCACCCTGTAGGGCACAGCAAGATGGACCAGTGATAGATTACCAAATAGGACCCCAAAGGTAGCTGAACACCTCCAAATCCGGGGAGTTTGTCAACAAGGTGTTCTACACCCCAGGAAAAAAAACCTAGGAAAGGAAATTTTCAATCAGAATCAGATAAAACCAAAGTGAGATTCAACCCCATTCAATAGGGACTAGTTGACTAATCGATACCCCTGGTATATTTTCATCAAGAAGAGTAGCAAGATAACAAGAGTATATTTTTGGGTGCCCTGTATAACCATATTACCCGTAAAAAATCAAGAAAATTGAATAAGTGTTGGAACCTCCCTTCAAAACTGATATTCAGTTGAATTACAACGATGGAATCAAAATCTACTAAAATAATTAAAAACACATTTATTGGTATAATTCTCACCCTGGCCAAAGGGTTTTCTATACGTTTCTTCATGCGCGGTGCTCTGCACGGAAGTCCTACTGGGACTTGATGAGTGATTGAGGGCCTTCTGTTTCTCATGAATCTAGGGTCGAGAAACGATAGTTGTAGAATTGAAGAGATGATATCATAGCTAAGACCACATGAGAGATGCGATGGTGATTCAGACATACCTGATTTCGGAAATCCTTCCACCTGGCACAATGAGTTCGGTAACCACCACAAATCCTCAGAAGAGTTTGAGTTTCAGACTGTAAATATCCACACCAAAATGATTAATCAGTCTTCCACTATATAATCCTGACTCGTAGAAATAATCCCCGTGAAGGATGGCACAAATACAACCATATATATCCTACAAGCCAGTCAGATGGTACACTTGAACTCTCAACCAAGCTCAACCAAGATCAACACTGAAATCCGAGAGACTGCCACATCTGACAGCTATCCAGTTGTTGCCACAGTGTGTAAAATCTACGCTACAAGCACCAAGGGGGCGCTGTGCATAATGTCATAAATCTATCAATTCCTCCACAGCCACTCGAGACATCATCAAAAATATTGACTCCAACCTATTTCCAACTATTTACCGATCCTTATTCATGCCATGGAATAGAAACATATAAGGTAAGTCACCACATCTTTCCCATTCAGTACGAATATTTGAACATTCATAATATGCAGAATATTCACCGAAAATATCAACCTGTATTCAGAAACCTAGAGCTAACTAATATTGTTATCCATGCAATATGTATGTATATGTAAGTAAACCTTCTGGAAGTGATGAATAACAATCTATGCTATAAATATTCTTGGAAAGGTACAGAAAATAAGGCGGACAACGGCTAAAAAATAATAGGTGACGAAAACTGAGAAACATATAACAACAACAATTTCAACCTAGCGAGGAGTTTCGGATTTCCAACGTCGAATGCGAAGTGAATGGTAAGTACTGATCAAAGCAGTTAGTCAGAGAGCCAAAGCAGTTAGTCCAGGTTCGAATATCATAACTATAAACTTTTTTTAATTAAAATCACGTCACAAGGGGCCCTGAGCGGTGATGCAGAGTCCCAAATGGGCCGAGGGCAGAGTACTAAGGGGGCTGATAGATTAGGCGAAGTACCAAGGGGGGCTGAGGAGCGGAGTTCCTCGCTTGAATCACTACGATACTCATTCCATCCTCCGTCGATGACGTCACACGTTTCCCCCACTCCTGTTTGAACCAAAAATTGCAAAAAGTTCAGCTCCATAAGAAAATACATGGGATTTTGTGCCAGACTGTCTAGTTGAAAAAACCAGACATTACCAGAAGATGGCAAATGAGACTTTGCCGAAACGTTGTGAAAATAATCCTTATGGGGATAAAATACACAGAACACGGAGCGAAACCCGAGAAAACAGCTTATCATACTTTATCCGTGAGAATCTTCGAGTTAACATATATAT